GCTCACAGCTTCACTCGTTTCTGATTCAAAGGGGCCTCTTATCTCTTGTTGTTGGGGGCCCAATTACATCTAACAAAAAAATACAAGTAAAAAAAAAACTTTTGGGCTTTCCTATCTAATTTTTGTTGGGGGCCCAGGACCCCAACCACCTTCTCCTGCATCCGCCTCTGCTTCGAACCATCTTCATCTCCAAACGACAAACCACAGAGATTTATTTAGAGGTGGGGATGCAAACCCATAAATGGTAACCAATCAAGATGGAGAAGGAAATGATAAAAAGTCCCCTGTGCAAATGTGTGTATGTATATATATATATATATATATAATTTAATTAATAAATATTGTATAACGTAATATAATTTTTTCAAAGATAAATAGGGAAATGAAGAAAAGACAAAAACACCCCTCACTCCAACAAAGATTATTAATGAAGTTAGCGATTAAGGACCATTTTCAAAGTAAAATGAAAACTACAAGAACAATTTCTAGAGTTACCAAAGTTCAGATCCACTTTTAAATATTTCACTAAACCTCAAGGACTAAAATTAGAATTTACTCTTTATAATATAATAGTATAGATGTGTTATACCATTCATGCTAATGTATGAAAGACCATACTTTTCAACTTGCATAACAAAATGGGATACAAAAAAGTTAAGTCAAGAATATTAATTCGATAATTGTTGGTTCTTTATAGTCATTTATTTTGAGCAAATGTCACTCTATTGATACAACCTATTTTACAATTGCAACACTCTCAGGGCATACTTTGGTTCACTAGGCTGGTGTAACACAACCGACTGCTAAAAAATGAAAAATATGATTGATAGAACAAGATAATATATAAGAACTAAAAATTGCAATGGCTTTGGCTACTATAACCTTCCCACCTACGATTTTATGCTTTTCCTGGTTCAGACAAATTCCCAAGCTAGGTTGTATATTGATTTCTGATGGGTAACGATTCACAATCCTTTATTCTCAACCAAGATGCCTCAACTGGATAAATTCACTTTTTTCACGCATGACATACGTTGTATACCTCACTAGTATTTGATGTGGCTCGAAGTTGCAACTTCTGCCTTGACAGGGCGGTGTCACGGAGAATTCAATTTCACTGGGTCCATGTCGTAGACAGCACGACAATGGTTTCATTATAAACTCAAAAGTGAAGGTCCTAAAAACTTCATAAACCAAAACAACTCTGAACGTCGGGGAGGATCATCTGAGAGGAATCCGTCCGAGGAAGGGCTCACATCTGATTAGCTAGTTAATGAGGTAATAATGAAAGATTACTCTTCTCCCCGTGGGGAAAAAAACCTAAAATTATAGGGGGTTAAAGCATCATTTTTCTCAAAGAAGCTTAAAAAGACAACTTTGCCACTTGTGTGATGCATATTAAAGTCGTAGGTTAGGGTTTTTTTTTAACGGCAGAGAGGGAGAGGGAAAGGGAAGAGTGTGCGCCGCTGTTCTTCGCCGGAACAACCACTAGAGGTATGCAATTCTCCGTCATTCGCCGCTGTCTAATTTACGATCTCTCTCTCGTATGTTCGATTTCTGAATTTTCTGCAAAACTTGTGAATATGCTAATCATCTTTAAGGCCAACTGGTTGTGATTTTTGTGCATTACGATTTTTCGTGTTAGGGCTTTTGGATTTGGTGTTTTTTAAACAAACGCATCTGTGTCTAAATCTCGTTTGTTGTATGTGGATTTGTATTGTCTTATCTTGTAGTTAATTTTTTGTCTGAAGCGATGAATGCTTGTTATAAGAGTTACACTAATGTTTTTATTTGATGACATGTGTGTGTTTTTTGTTTGTTTACATTCCTTTACTCCATTTATAAGCAGTTTTAGATTCATCGACACAAAAGTTAGAAATGAGATCTTTGAGACAGGTGCTTAGAGTGGTCTCTGGTGCATTGGGGATCATTGAAAGAAATTGATGTAGATTATTAGTTGAAATTCAATAACATATTGTGATTACTGAGGGTATAGCTTTTACATTTTAAATTTTTTGTAGTCTGAAAAGCTTGATGCTGGTATTTAAAATAGTGATTGCTGTTGTGGAACAGGATACCTTAATCTGAATGAATAAAAACTTAGCAAGAAGCCTATATTGAACCATGCTCTTAGAACCTCCTGAATTGATGGTCTTTTGTTATTATACGGTTCTTAAACAATCAAGTACTTTTGCTTTTCGTTTATTGGTGAGTAAAATGCTGCATTGAGCTTGATCGACAATCTTTTAAATCTTGTATGAAATGGTTATATCACTTGAGAAGGTGTGCGTTACAACATCAACATTGAGTTCTTGCCATAAACATGCGAATGATGGCTATTTACCATCCTTTATGCTTCATTTTATCTATTTTGGTCAATTTTTTATGATCTTGGTTGATCCTTTTTGTACTTGTTTATCCCTATTTATGATTAAATTTGCCAATCCTTCTAACGATGTTTCATATAATTAATTTTAATTTAGGATAAACCACTAGGAAAGGCTAGAGAATGGGGCGTGTGCGTACCAAGACTGTTAAAAAATCCTCCAGGCTAGTGATCGAGAGGTATTATGGGAAGATGACTCTGGACTTCCACACTAACAAGAAGATCTTGGAGGAAGTTGCTATCATTCCATCCAAGCGATTGAGGAACAAAATTGCTGGTTTCTCTACTCACCTGATGAAGCGTATCCAAAAGGGACCAGTGAGGGGCATTTCGTTGAAGCTCCAAGAGGAAGAGAGGGAGCGTCGCATGGACTTCGTGCCTGATGAGTCTGCCATCAAGACTGATCTGATCGAGGTTGACAAGGAAACCATTGAAATGCTTACTTCTCTTGGCATGGGTGATCTCCCTGGGGTTGTCAAGGCGTCTGTTGAACCACAGGCTTTGCCATCGGTTCCTGCTTTTGGTAGGGGTGGTGGTGCTGGTGGTTTTGCTAGGAGATATTGAAGACCTTGTTAGGGTAATCTTCGTTTTATTGGGTATTTTTCTTGCACAATTATTTTAGTTATCGGTTGGTTCTTTATGTTCCATGATCACATTTTTGAGGTGTCCAATGAAGACTTGGTTAATAATTAGGTTTACTGATGTTTTATATTGGAGTTTTGATAGGCCGAATCTCCTTGCAGTTTTTTCATCAAATGCAGCTTCTGTTTGTTTTTATGCTATCCATATTTTCGTATTATTTGGGTCATGAGGGGTCCTAAGTTCATTATGATTGCAGTTGGTTTGCGTTTTGATTTACAGAGTACAGTCTGCTATTAATCATTTGATAGAGCCAGAACTCGACTTCTTTATGCATGGTTTATTCTCTGGTTGTGCCATGAGATGTTTGGAAAGGATGGGACCGTCCGGTTTTGGGACAGTGCCGGCTAGGACAGGCAAACCCATGCAATTCCCTCGTAGCACGGGATCGGTCATATATTAATCTCTTGGAGGCCTGTTTAGGGACTGAAACTGTGTTAAAGATATGGTTAGGGACTGGACTGACCTGGGCCAATTGCAATGCTTAAGGCTATGTTTGTGACCGAAAAACTAGCGGATAAGCTAGTTATATTTGGTAAAAACTAGTTAATAAATCATATAATAACCTAAAATGTCTTAAAAAAGAAATGTTGAAAAATATGTTGGAAAAAAGACTTCAAAACTTGTTATGTAAAGTAGTTTTTACAAATCTAGCTTGTAAGTTGTTTATGGCTAAGAAAATGAGTATTTTTCAATATACACAAAATAAACTAACTTTTATAAGTTAGTTTATGGTTGCCAAATCTAAAAAAGTCTTGATAATGGTCTCTACAAAAACTGGCATGTTTTAAGGTTGAGCGGAACAAGAACGACTTCGTTTTGGTTCCACCAAAAAGGATGGAACAAAAATAAAAATTAATAATCTACCCTTCTCATTACATATAACCATAATATCGTATTTGGTCTAATGGTCACCAACCATCAACCATCACCACCGTTAGCCACCACCCACCTCCACCAGCAACTACCAACCATTGACCATGTCTACTGCTAACCACCTTCACTTCCACCTCCTTCACAATCACCACCTCCACCGTGACTGCTGCTTCCAACCCATTTCCACTATTGCCACATCCGCCATTGTTGGCCACGTCCATCTTGACCACCGTCGACCATCAGTTTCCACTACTGGCTACCATCACCACCACCTCCTCCACCGCAACTAATTGTATGAAACGTGTTCTATCAAATTACCATCAACTATCTCAATTTTTTACTAAAAAGCATTTGGTCTATCAGCACCTAGTAACGTAACCTTCATAGAGGTCAAGAGTTTAGACCTCACTACATGTGAGTAATGTGTTGTTTATAACTATTATCATATACATAAAAACGTTAAAATCATTTTAATAGTTTTGTTCAATCCTATCCAACTTAGTAAGCATTACAGAAACAACTTGTTCAGACTTATCTTAATCATTCCAAACATTATAACCATTCATTTTTGTGTGCGTATCTTTGGTTTGGTTCTACTTTTATTGATGTTGGATTTTCTTCAAAAACTTCTTATTAGCGGTTTGGCACCGATATAAGTTGTTTATCCAAACACTCAAAAGTGCTTATTACCGGCACTACACCGGAATAAGTCAATAAGTTGATTTTATAAGCAATCCCAAACACCCCTCAATATTTAGCTAATTTTCGGAGTATAAATATTTGGCATACATCAACTTTTATTTTTTTACCATAAATATATACTCTAAGAAATTATAAAATATGAATTATTAATATAAAGGCAATAACTAAAAGGACTAATAACATGATGGAATTTGTATGAGAATGTATATAACTACTACGTACGATTCTAATTAACGGCCAATGTAGATGCGTACATCCTTTGTATCGGAAGTTGATAAGCAAGCTAAGAAGATAGCAAGAGTCGCGACTTGTCATTGGTATCTCCACTGGAAAATTTACATATAAATTCTGACGCTAGTTGCAGAGTTAGCTACAATTCCTTTCTCTCTTAAAACATGTATGCAGGAGGTGAAGTTTCAGCCATCGGTATTGATCTTGGGACCACCTACTCTTGTGTGGCTGTTTGGGTGCAAGACCTTATTGAGATCATAGCAAACGATCAAGGAAACCGCACAACCCCCTCCTATGTTGCCTTCAATGACACTGAACGTTTGGTTGGGGATGCTGCCAAGAACCAGGCTGCCTACAACCCCACCAACACCATCTTCGGTCAGTTTATTACTTCTTCTTCTTTGCATATGTAATATGTATATATATATAGCCTTTCTTATTTGTTTAATCTCAAACTAGATATGGTTTTTCTGAGTTGAGTGATATACATATAAAACAGATGCTAAGCGGTTGATTGGAAGAAGAGTAAGCGATGAAGTTGTTCAGGAAGACATTAAGTTGTGGCCTTTTAAAGTGGTGGCTGGGAGTGGCGACAAGCCAAAGATTGTAGTAAAATACAAGGATGAAAAGAAGGATTTTTCTGCTGAAGAGATATCTTCCATGAATTTGATGAAAATGAAAGGGGCTGCTCAGACATTTCTTGGTTCGACTGTTGAAAATGCAGTGATTACTGTTCCAGCTTATTTCAATGATTCTCAACGACAATCAACAAAGGATGCTGCCAAGATTGTTGGACTGGAAGTTCTGCGCATGATTAATGAACCTACATCAGCTGCTATAGCTTATGCTCTAGACAAGAGGGCTAGCACTGATGGCAAGATGAATGTACTAGTGTTTGACCTGGGTGGTGGCACCTTTGATGTCTCCCTTCTCACCATTGACGAAGGGGGAATCATCGAGGTTAAGGCCACAGGTGGTGACACACATCTAGGAGGCGAGGATTTTGATAACAGAATGGTTAATCATTTTGTCCGAGAATTCAAGAGAAAGCACAAAGAAGATCTTAGTGGTAATCGTAAAGCTTTGGCCAGGTTGAGGGTTCATTGTGAGAGGGCAAAGAGGATTATTTCAACAGCTATTCTGACTACAATCGACATTGATTGCTTGTTTAATGGTGTTGATTTTTCTGCAAAATTTACTCGTGCCAAGTTTGAAGAGGTTAACATGGACTTGTTCAAGAAGTGTATAAAGACTGTGAAAACTTGTTTAAAGGATGCAAATATGGACAAGAAGAGCATTGATGAAGTAGTTCTTGTTGGTGGATCGACTCGGATTCCCAAGAACATATTAGAGACTGATGGCAAAAGTGATCTCAGTAAACTTTGTGGTCAATGAGTTTTGGTAACTTTTTGTTAATCTAATTTGAAGAGTTTGAAACATCGTTTAGTAGTGATAGATTTGTATTCATGCAATATTAATTTGTAATCTTGAATTTTAAGTAATGTACATTTATTAATTGTATTTTGCATACAAAAATATGGTTTTAAAGAATTTGACGCAAAATGTTTTATAATATAGTATAGACTTCGGTTTTACTAGTTAACCAATTACATCGTTGCAATAGTCTCGAATTGCCTAAGCTAGTCCAATATATTCTTTTGTGTTTATCTCATTTTAAATAATTCTCGGTGCATATACAATTACATATCTATTTTAACTTGTACGTACGACACCTTTGAACCTTTTCCAGTAGTAACTATTATCAACTTTGCGATTACTTATCATTTTCGCCATACCCTATGAAGCCAAATACGATTACTTATGTTAAACAATCAATCTTTATAAATAGTTTTATATTTTAACGTGTAAGTTATCATATGTCCTACGACATGTGTCATACAAGTATATTATTGGGAATATGTAAACATATAAGGTTGCGTTCAAAGAATACGTTTGCTTACATTTGAAAGTAACCCGAAAGTCATATTTGACAGCTAAATATGTGTTAAAGTGTAATTATGACAATTACATTGTTTTATCTATAAATATGTAAAATTATTAATGTTTTAGATAATTATATAAATATTTACAGATAAACATTAAAATCCTATTTGAGTGATGGACTATCTGTAATACCGGTTTTATATAAGTAGGGTGATAGGCAAAATCAATTTTGAGGGATTCAATTCTCCGAAATAGGTTAACACTCTAAAAACACACACATATTAGAATCAAGGTTCTTTTGGGCTAGCACCTGGTAGGAAGATCTTCACGTTTTCGTGTGTGGATCAACTATAGAGAAAACCCCCTTCAGTTTCCAAGTGCTACGTCAATTTTTTTTTAAAATACATCTCTAAACACACCCTACTGTGTGTTTTTGGGTTTTAATTCTTAGATAAGTTTTCTAAAACTGTAACCTAAATTTATTTTGTGTTGTGTTTTTCGAGGTTACAAATATGTATAAAAACCCAACATAACGGTTAGCCCTTATTTAAGAACCAGATTTAATTTGGATAATGAGCTTCTTTATTTTACTATTACCCTTTTACCTAGAATATTTAACAAGGTACAAATTTATCAAATTTTCTGTAATTTGTCAAGCCAGTATTAATTACAAAATAACATCAATAGAACGGTGAATCATTTCGGCTGAGAATTCAAGAGAAAGTACAAACAAGACCTTAGTACGAACCTAAAAGCGTTGGGTAGGTTGAGGGTTCATTGCGAGGGGGCAATTAAAGAGGATTATTTCAACAGCTATCCTGACTACAATCGACATTGATTGCTCGTTCAGTGGTGTTCAATTTTTCTGCAAAATTTACTCGTGCCAAGTTTCAAGAGGTTAACATGGACTTGTTCAAAAAGTGTTATGAACACTGTGAAAACCTGTTTGAAGGATGCAAATATGGACAAAAAGAGCATTGATGAAGCAGTTTTTGTTGGTGGATCGACTCAGATTCCCAACGTACAACAATTGTTGCAGGAGTTTTCTGATGAGAAGTTACTTTGTTGCGAGCAGATCAAATCCTGATTAATTTGAGTACTCTACTAAAACAGTTTATGCATCATAAGATGTTCATTTTGCAAATAGTTTACATTATTTATATATTGTTTGAAATATAATTGCATATATTAAATGAAGGAATTGAAAGAATGCATGGCAATAAGTATAGAGAATTTTGGGAAGACAAGGAGTGCACAACAAATGACCATAAATGAATTAAATGTCAAATTTGCCCCCACAGGTTAAAAGCAAAACTGATACATGCAGCCTTTGTTACACCCACAGGAATCACACACCTACCACTTTTTTCAAATAAATACTTAAAATAAACCTTTAATCATAACTTGGAAGTTATAATTTAAATTCTTGTTTTTAAATATATCTTATAAATTATTAAAATAAATAACAAAAAAATAATTCGTCGGTTGCGTTTTCTCGAATATTAAATATTCGAATAACATTGTTTGACGATCAAAATGGAGAAATTCAATGACATCAATCAGTGTCGTCTATTTTTGTAACGATATGATGGTGACGGTAAATTATGTGGTTTCAAGTTGAAGAATTGTCAAAAATATTAAACGATACACTTTTTATGGGAAATTTGTAAAATAGAGGAGTTATACGATTTATGTTACGGAGACGTTGATATTGTTTCCGTTTAAAAACAATTACATAAAATTTATATATAAACAACAAAATAAGGCATTATAATTAGTTTATTAAAACAAATATTTGCTTATGTTTTTATCATGTATGACAATTCCGTCCTTCATCATTATAACAATAGCCTCATCACTAGCTATATATCCTGACTTCATTACAAAGGGGTGGTAAAAAAATACCCAACCTGTTAACTTAATCCGAATGCAATTTAAAATTAACAGGTTGGGTTAAGATTTTCAACTCATTTAAATAAATGGGTCAACTCGTTTAACCCATTTAAATAAATGGGTTGGATTGAGTTGAATTTTTCGACATGTTTTCAATCTATTTAAAATATTATATTATATAATTTTATTTTATTTTATTCTTAATGTTATATCTAGTAATCTAATTTTTAATTTTGTTTTATTCTTAATTAAAAATCCTACCGTTGTGAGATGAAACTCCAAATTCTAATCGCCTTCATTACTCTTAATCATCATGAAATCCTACGATAACCCTTTAGTCAATTACTCCATTATTATCTCCAAAGTCTAATCCAACTTATTTTGAACAATATATTTGTTGTGTTTGTATCTTATTCAAACTTTGAACAATTTGTTTGTATTTGTCGTGTTTTTTTGTATTAAAAAAAATAAATAGTCTAGTTTCTTTTTTTATTTAAAATTTTAAGAAAATCGTAAATAAGTCAACCCGCTGTCAACTCATTTAGGTAACAGGTTTGGTTGGGTTGAAAAATCTCAACCCATTTAATTAAATGGGTTGGATTGAGATTTTCAACATGTTTAATAAATGGGTTAAACCCGAACCCAACCAACCTGATCCATTGCCACCCCTAATTACACTACCTAATGACACGATTGCTTAGATTAGGAAACTTTTAGCCTCATGTTCTATAGATAACGTTGTATATTTGCAAATCATGAAGAGATGGGCTCTGAGGCCCTATTACTCGTTGCAAGACGTGAGATTTTTACAATGGCGTAAAGTGATAAACACGTTTCATATACAAATAGATCATTAAAGTTTGTAAAGAGTTATAAGCTATAAAAAAAGTCAAAGTAGGTCACCTAACTTTCAATTCAGTTTCATTTATACCAAAAATACATCTGATTGAGATTTGTTATGATTAAATATTTCGTGTAAAACCACAGAAAACAGACGTTTTGATATCGAGATCAATATACGAAAAGTCGGAAAAATATATTTTCATGTTAGGAATGGAAACAATTGATATGGGTGATATATATTTATTTATTTATTTATTTTGATTAACCTGGATATCCAACCCGTCATGTGAGCCGATTAATCCCAGGGCGACCACCTGTTTTGCAGATAGTCCAGAATCACCGCATTTGAATCTCCATGGCTACAAAAAGATTTTTATTCTTCATTGAATTTGAATCTGAGACCTTCTGGTACTTTTAACCTTTGAAATCAACTTTAAACCATGAGTGAATATTTTGGTAGGAGATGGCGATATGATGCATTAATTAAAGAAGCAACTAATTTCCACAAGGATAGTATTAATTACACATAAGAGAGTCCCTACCGGTCCCCTTTCAATTTCACCTCTCTCTCTTTGTGATCGCCATTAATACCAAACCAAAGTATGGAGGACAACACATGGGAATGAGGACTATACACATCCATTTCAAAAACTCCACTTGACTAAATGGGGAAGAACATGAATCTCATCCCTTCTCTCTTCTTACTCAACAAGCACAAAGAGCTATGGCTATGGCCTTCTTGCAAGCACCCCAAAACCCGCTCTTTTCGACTCACCACACGCGATTCTTCCATGTCTATACACCCTAACAAGGAGTCATTGCCTGAAGCAGACGTCGAGCTGACGACACCTGATTCCTGCTTCACCAACTCATCGGAATCTGCCAGTATTTCGACCGAGTCTGAGAAGTATTTCGACAACAACGAGTGCTCCTCCTCCTCCGTGGAGACGATTGTTCGTGGGGCGAGGTCTGAGCGATTGTTTTTTCAACCTGATGCCACAAGTTCGATACTTGAAACTCAAGGGAGTGGTAGGCAATGTACGCGGGTAGAGACCGGCGGTGGTTTGCCGTATAAAGAGAGCGTGGTGATGGAGATGGAGTCGGATAATCCATATGGGGATTTCAAGAAATCCATGGAGGAGATGGTGGAGAGCCATGGTTTGAAAGATTGGGATTGTTTGGAGGAGTTATTGAGATGGTATTTGAGGATGAATGGGAAGAACAACCATGAAGTCATAGTCGGAGCTTTTGTTGATTTGCTTTCTGGGATATCCGGTGGTGGTGGTTCCGATCATTCTACAGCCACTTTCACTTCTGCTGCGTCCACCTTTTCTTCATCATCTCCTTCATCTGATCAGATTGATAGAGATAAGATCAAGAAGGAAGGAAAAACGGTAACCAAATAATTATTCCTGTATATTTTATTAATTAATTAATTAACTCACTTATTTCTTCAGTATTATGTATACACTGATTAATCACATTCTGTACACTTAATTGCATTATAAATTACATTTTCTTTTTCAACTAACAATCTCTACCGACTCTTTTAAATTTTGATATGTAAGGACCCATTTATTAGTAACGTATATCATGCGTTACAAACCAACAAATATCATATTTATTTTAATTCATGTTAATCAAAGTTTTTGTGTTAACTTTATTTTATATATATATATTAGGTCAAGATCAAATGTTAACCAAAGTTTTTGTGTTAACTTTATTAACCGATCTTGGCCATACAATCTTTCAATAAACGGTCAAGATTAATAATGATAAAAACTTAAATTTTTAAAGTTTAAAATTTAATAAACACAAGTGAACAAAGTTGAAAAGGGTATTTAGGTAAAAAAATCTTTAACTTTTCCAAACCAGTAAGTATCAAATCAACGATAACGTATGAAATATATGAACACCGGGTGCAATAACTTATACAATTGCACAATTATAAACACAATGTGAAGCACTCACACAAATATAAAGATTTGGGATCAAATTTTGAACAAACGACCCGGTAAGTCGATATGAACATGTATGAACGAATGATGAACATGAACATGAACAAGTCACATAGGAAGAGAATATCGTAGAAAATATATGAACACATAACCTCTATGCTATGAACACGTGGTGCAATTCCTTACATAGTTTGACATATATGAACACCAGATGCAAATATAAATATAAAGATTCGTAGGCAAATTTTTTTCCATAGACTCGTTAAGTTGTTATGAATATATATGAACAACAGATGAGATCAATAACAGAAACCGATATTCATATGATGGGGGTCATTAACATGAACGTATACAAATATAAATCATTTTAATTTTCTCAATGTTGTCGATTTCTTTTCCATTGCGTTTATCCATATTAGCTTGAGTGATACCGAAGATTTTACTACCGTGTTTCCTCTACGAGTGAAAAACTCATAAAACAATGAACATGGAAGATCAAGATTAAAAAAAAATATCAATATTATAAATGCTTATTTTTTTGGATTTATGATTTGTAACTCCCCATTAATTGTTTGGGAGTTACATAGCAAATCAAATGACTGAATTACCCTTGTATTTAAATTGTGAACATAATAGAAACCTAATATTTGGATTAATTGGATTTGTTTTCAAAGTTAACACAAAATCTTTGTTTAATATTTGATCTTACCCCTCTCTCTCTCTTTCTCTCTCTCTCTCTCTATATATATATATATATATGTTATAAATTGTTTCATGAATCATTAGAAACACGTCAAATAAAAAGACAACACAATTATGATTAATTAATTAAAGGTAGATACGAAACTAAAACATGACATCTCAGTAACGCAATTGAAATCATAGTTGGCATCGAAATTATCAGAAATACGATGTAGAAATTAGGCGTTTTAATAAATGGATGCCGAATTAAAGACGGGAAAAGGAATCAAAACGGGATCGATGTGGCAACGTCAATGGATATGAAGCCATGAAAGAAGACCACTTAAATGGAGCGAATTAATTGGGGTAGAATTCTAGTCACATGTGTTGTGGGAAATATGGCAAACATTAAAAACGAAGGGTGACCATTGATTGATGCCTATAAAATACACACATCGTCTACTTTATTTTAACTCAACAAAAATAATGTGTTTTCTCTTTCGTATACCAACATTTTACGTTATAATTTTGAGTCGGAGACCCAATAACTTCGAATCTAACTTAAAATAATGCTGGAAGTTATTGGTAACCCACTACTTGAGACTTATAAAGAGCTAATAGCTTTCACCTTCTATCCATGTGATACGGATTGTTACAGTATCATTGCTTTGAAGATCATGCGTTACCATCTTGAATGCGAATAACATACCTAAGGTTACACAAGAAATTTCAAATTTGGTGACGAAAAACGATAGGAGTGATGAAACACATGAATTCGTGATTAAATGGGTGGCAAGTTGATGATTAAAATCTAAATCTTGAAAAATAAACCGTACAAAACTTGAAACGAAGTTGAACGTTGTCTACTACGTGTATACAAATTAACTATGAAAGGCGTTATTTTTTGTAATTAACCTTACGTACAACTTGATAAAAAAAAAAAAACGAATATCAATTACGTCGACAAATCACCGATTTCTATTATGTATCAATGATTTGTATATGTTGGATTTAGGTTGAAAGATGTAGGTGCAGTTTCTATTATTAGTAATGGTTGGTGTAGAAGCAGTTGTTAGAACAGTGAAATTGAACAATAGATCAACCACCTTCCAAATGGCTCACTATGCATGCTGAAATGATTTATCACCCAATGTGAACCTACAGATGTATCCTGTTCCACACAAGATTACAAATCAAACAGCACTTTACTTCTCATTTGTGATTTTGAGTGATTTGTACGTACATATATCTATCTATCTATCTATACAGAGGCGGATGCAGGAGAAGGTGGTTGGGGTCCTGGGCCCCCAACAAAAATTAGATAGGAAAGCCCAAAAGTTTTTTTTTTACTTGTATTTTTTTGTTAGATGTAATTGGGCCCCCAACAACAAGAGATAAGAGGCCCCTTTGAATCAGAAACGAGTGAAGCTGTGAGCCTGTGAAGAGTGAAGTGT